TTGTGACCGATTATGTTATATGGTATCTGCTTGTGGTATCTCAAATTTTCTGCATAAAACACATCCAGATTCAGGTGCTCAATCCTATCCTTTTGCTAGTGGGACCTCTGCCCTAAGCAGTGAAAAGAGACGAAGGGGGAATCTAAAAAAAAAAAAAAAAGAAAAAAAAAAATAAAAAAAATTAAAAATAAAAATAATAAAAAAAAAAAAAAAAAAAAAAAAGCAAAAACTCACCTCAAACGTTCCCCGTTTGCGACGACACTTGCAACAGTTTTTGGGGACTATAATCCTTAGTCACTTCCCACAACGCCACTTAGCGCTCCGTTTTCATCATTTTTTTTTTTTTTTCGATTTATATGTGTCATCCTTGCGCAGAGGTCATGCTCAATTCGGCGCGGCCAATCTGGACCGCTCGATCCTCCAGATCTAATGACCAGATCTAGTGCGCCAACGGCATAATCGAATAGCCAGCTCCAAAAGGAGCTAGCCCAGAGATGCGGTTCCTCTGATTCGATCCCGGTCTCTGCCGGGAGAAAGTCTTATATTGTACCCTACTGGGCCAGCTTTTATCATAAGAAGAGTTTGCTGCTTGCCCAGTCGTTATCACACCCCTTGCAGGTCCTGTCTGCCTAAGGCTCTGCAGATCCTGCCTGCCTGAAGCCTAATAGGTTTCGCTGGCCGCGTGACCTCGACATCGGTTTGTCAACCCTTTGGCTCGATGTCAATCCCTGCGGCCTAGGAAATAAAAACCTTCTTCTTATTCCCCCTGCGCCGCGACCCTATACTCGGCGCATCCCTCCTTTTAGCCTACTTAGGCCCTGAATCGCGCGGCTTAGCAGCCGCGCGACATTATATTAGGTAAAATAGGTCTAGCTCTACCACTTTCATGCCCACACGCCTCTGCGGCCTCGACAAAAACGAAACACTGCCGATTACTGCCATTACTCTTGGACGCCGCAGACGTCTGGACTATGGTTCTAAAGTTTTAGTCTCTCGGTCATAGGTCAATCTGAATGAACTTTCGGCAACATCAGTCTCATCAAGTACCTCCATTCAACGAAAAAGTCGGACAACGTCCGACATTTAAAAATCCCTGGCAAATATGCCCCGACAGCGCCCGCCACATTTTTGTCTTTTTCACATTTTGAGACTCGAGAGTGTTGTAGTGGGGCCCTTAGTCCGGCGAGGTCCTCTCGCCGTCAGTCCGTCCAATCCCCTCCCCGCCAAATCCCGAGTTCCTCCCCTTCCCGCCAATTCCCGAATTGTGTCCCACTTTCCAAAAAAACAAACAAAAAAAAAAAAGAATTGTGTCCCCGCCAAATCCCGCGTTCGCATATTTCGGTGCATCGTCACGGGGCCTGGGCCCACATGCGCCGTGTAGTTTAGTTGGGCGGCAGCGGGTGGCATCGGGCGGCTGCGGGTGGCGAATCCTGGATGCGTGATGGACCCAGATCGGACGTGCGCACAGTCAACCCGCGCAAACGTGAGAAGAGCGGGGGGTTTCCGAGTCTTTCGGACATTTGTTTCGGCTGAGAGATGTGGTTTTGGAGGAGGCGAGGCCGTGTTTGGAGGACGCGAGGCCGTGTTCTGCGTGGTAGAAAGCTATTCCAAGAAAAGTGCGATAACGACAATGACCGCGTTGATTGTTTTGGTGGAAAGTCCGTGATTTTACCGCCACTTCTAAGTTGTGGAGGGATTTTACCATGATTTTACCGCCACAAAATGGAAGATGATTCGAATTGAGGTTGGCCACCAACCCCCGGGCGCCACGCCTGCTGACAGCCAAGCAGGTTTCTGGGGCGCCACGCCCGCTGACAGCCAAGCAGTTTTCTGGATTTTCCCGCCCCCCCCACGTCACACAGTGTAGAAAACTACAACCACATGGTGCATGTGGGTCCCGGCCCACGGTGTTGGCTTCGCCCACCGAGCGGCGGCAGGGAGGCCCCAGGGAGGCCTCCCTGGTTACACCCCTTGGATTCAATTTTTTGTTATTCGGGGATCATGGCGCCCCCCAATAACAAATTAAATAAACAAATCGAATGAGGTCGACCCCCCCCTGTCTCACTCACACACACACACACACACAGGGCCTCGCCACACCACTCTTGAATCTCGAAAATTCGTGAGTCGGGCACCGCCACACAGCATGGCTCGAAAAAAAAACTTGAAACTGTTCGAGAGCTGTCAGGAAGGGGTTTTCGAGTGCCCTCTCGAAGCGATGTTTTCGCCCAGCCTGCAGCGTTGGAGTTTTCGTGATACCGCCCCTCCGCGCTCGAGTTAGACGTCCATATCGAGAGTTGTCAGGCCGTTTTTGGTGATGCCGCCCGTCTGCGCTCGAGTTCGTCCATTTCGAGAGGCCGGTCTAGTGTGCTAGGTGGCGAAGGGCCATTTTCTCTCGAAAACAGGCCTCTCGAAAAATCCTGACAGCTCTCGAATATTTTCGAGATTCGAGAGTGGTGTGGCGAGGCCCACACACACACACACACACACACACACACTAACATGCACACGCACACACATTCTCCTCTCTATTGATCGCGAGCGCCTGCTGGAAACTGGCGGGTTGCCGTAGCTGTACTTTTGGTTTCACGGAACTTTCACCTCTCAGAAAAGAGCAGGTCGAGCCTCCCAGAAAAGAGCCCAACGGCCCCAAATTGAATTGAACCCCCAGGAAATTTCGTCCGTCCAATAGCGGTGGCCGCGTATCCTTATCCCAGCGCCTACGTAGGCATGGACAGCAAATATGGCGGACCCATCCGGACCAAGCCGGCCCTACCGAGGACGGCGGGAAAGTTGGCCGCCCTTTGCGAGGGGCTCGTTGGGAAACAAGCCTAGCTCGCGTAGCTGATCCGCGCAGCTTGTCGCTCTCGGCAGCCATTCGAAGTTCGAAGCCTCGAAGGTGTTCTGCCGACCAGCACTGCTGTCGCACGCTCAAACTTGTGGAAGTCGTTGTAGAAAAATTGCTGAACCAGGTGCCTTATCACGTCCTCCCTTAAATTGGCCTTTGATAAAATTTATATAACTTCCACCATTTGTCGATGCATGCGAAAATGAAGAAGAAGGGAAAGAAAAAAAAAGTATGCGTGTCATCCTTGTGCAGCGGCCATGCTAATCTACTCCGTATCGTCCAGTTTTAACAGATATCCCCAATTTGAAGGACGTTGCCTTCTCTCCTCTTGCGCCTCTTTCTCCTCTTTCTCCTCTTTCTCTTCTCTCTCGCTTCGACTCTCCGTTCACTATCCTCCTCCTCAACTCTTGTCCATGTCTTATCTGTCTCTCGGCTCCCCATCTTCATCTGAGACATGGCCAGGGGCGTACTCGCACCGGACTTCCTGACATGAATCTGACCATAATGGCGGCCATGTTCTGTCAGAAAGTACAAATGTGAGTCTAGGCCTCTTTCCCCCGCCCCAAAGCTCCGCATTGATTCTTTTTGTCCTGCCGCTCTCCATCCTCGTCTGTCCGGCCTCCTCCTCCTCATTGTCTCCTTTTCTCTGTCCTCCCCTCCTCCTCCTCCTCCTCCCCCTCCCCCCCTGCTCCTCCCTTTTTTTTTTTTTTTTGTTAATGTGCATAGTCTTTCATTTGCTAGTTGCAATAAATTTCCAGACATTTCTCTCTCTCTCTCTCTCTCTCTCTCTCTCTCTCTCTCTCTCTCTCTCTCTCTCTCTCTTCTCCTTTTTCTCCTGCACAATTGAAAAAGTCCCTCCACCCCTCCTCCTCCCCCTCCTTCTCTCCTTTGCTTCCAGCTCCCTTTCCTCCTCTCTCTCGTCGTCTCCTCCTTCATTCGAAGCCGGCAGGGAAATGAGAACGATGAATCCCTGCCGGGTTTGCCATGGTTGTCGTAGTCGTAGGGTTTGTCGGATTTTTGTTACTTGTAGAGGTGGGGGAGGAGGGGAGTGGGAGGGGGGAGGGGCGAGGGGCAGGGGTTGCCGGCACGATCCGGGGGGTGACGATGTACCCCATCCGTTTCTCTTACCCGTGTCCTGAAGCCGTCCATACTACAAAGCTACCAACTTTCTTCATCCTGCTTACCCCCGGATCGTGCCGGTGATCAGGTGCGTACGTACTGTAATAACTGGCCGGGCGCTTGACAGATTGAAGTCCTTTTTTTTTTTTTTTTTTTTTAAACAAATGCTCCCGCTGGTAATGCAACCTGGAGTGATACGAGCACACCCATGTTGCAGGCCTCTCGGGTAATCCACCTGTCTATCGGTTGGGAGCAGCCTGCAGCCTGCAGCCTGCAACCTGCAACCTGCAACCTGCAACCTGCTGGAAACCGGGGGTCCAGCGTCCATTGCTTACAGTGTGAAGTCTAGTTTGTAACAGAAAGAAAAGAAATAAGAAAGAAAGAAAAAAAAAAAAGAAGAAGACGAGTAGTGTAATAATCACAATTGTCAAAAAAAAAAAAAAAAAAAAAAAATCACCATTGTGGCACGGCGTGATCATCTGGTCCGTGTCTCGAAATGATTGCCTCTTCTTGAGTTGATTGGCTCGAGCCGCCACTGTGCATTCTGCCATAATTGCCATGGAGTGAATGATTTGGCTGTGGACGACTCACGGCCTGTAAAATGCGGCCAGTGGGTTATCAGCCGACTACGACTATGGGCCTCGCTTTACTTAGTTACTACTCTCGAAATGTGCAAAATGAGATTGTGAGATTGAATCTGTCGCTAGAACGTGGAAAGATCTATCCACGGCCATGATTTTTGTCGTTTGTGCATGTCGAGAGTAGTGGAGCGACGCCCTTATGTTGTTGTGAGCTTGCAACTCGCGGCGCAGGACGCTGGAATTAGTGTGTGTGTCTCTGAGAGAGAGAGAGAGAGAGAGAGAGAGAGAGAGAGAGAGAGAGAGAGAGAGAGAGAGAGAGAGAGAGAGAGAATGAATATTCGGAGGAAACAGTCTTTCATAGGGCCCCGTTTGTCGTTCTTCACGGGGCAGTTCTGTCTATTGCAATATGGGTCTCGCTCGACTACTCACCAAATGAGCAAAATGAGAATGAATATTCCGCTTGAAAATGGGAAGATACGCCCCCATATTTTTGCTCTTTTGAGCTTGTGCTCAGTGGTGCGGCGAGCCTCACATATATAAATGGCCACAAACGGAAAATATTGCAAGCGATATCCCAGAGAGTGCACACACGTTGCATGGCACGGCATGCCATGAATCTTTTTTGTGAATGAGGGTAATGAAACAAATGAAAAAAAGACGAACTGTGTGATTATTACTAATATAATACAGTAGCGGATCCATTTCGGGAAAAAAAAAAGGCGAAAGACTTTAATAAGCAATGTCACGTCATTCTTAAACTTCAATTATTTTGAATATATATATATATAGCCAAACAGATCTGCCCGGTAAACCGTAGGCAGAGACGGAGAAGAGGACAACAAACTAAGGGCTGTGACGATATATAGATAGATAGATAGATAGATAGATAGATAGATAGATAGATAGATAGATAGATAGATAGATATCAGCCATATGTTGTGGAAGCCACCAGCCGCATTTGGGGCAGCATGAAGTAATGGCCACACCTGACCAGTTGTTCTGAGAGAGTGAATGTCTGGTCGTTCGAAATAACAACAACAACCAAAAAAAAAAAAAAGGGAAAAATAAATTGACTACCTTCTTCCCTGGAACAAAAGGTACGGTCATTCTAGCTGTATTTGTGGTATCTTTCCGTCTAAATACAGCTGCTGTAATGACCGTCCGTTGTATTTGGGTGAAGAAGGCATTTTTGTTTTCCCCCTTCACACCTCCGCGACAAGGAGTGCGCGAACTCTCCAAAAACGAGAAAATTGGGAAAAAAAAAAAAAACGAGAAAATTCAAAGGGCATCGCCACACCACTCTCGAAATGTGAAAAGACAAAAATGTGGTCGATGCATCTGGCCATGTTGTAGCGGACGTTCATTCTCATTTTGCACATTTCAATAGTGGTGCGGGGATGCCCAAACCAGAGTTTATAAAATTTTCGGAACTTGGTCGAATCATGAATGAAGGTCGTTCAACACACACACACACACACACAAGGGGCCTCCCTCCACCTTTTTAAGCACTGATTCGAATTTCCTTTTTAAGCACTGATTCGGGAAAATAAAATTTCAACCCTGAAGGAGAGTGAAATAAAATGACTGGACCCCAGAACCCTTGTCAGACAAGGGGCCTCCCTCCACCACTCTCCATATTTCACGAAAGACCAAAAAAATAAAATAAAATGGCGGTGTATCTTTCCATGTTTTCAGTGGAAGATTCATTCTCATTTCCCACACTTAAAAAATAGTGTAGGGAGGCCCACGTTATGTCAAACTCCCTCTTGAACAACAAATTTGGAAATTTATTTTTCATTCTCATTTCCCACACTTAAAAAATAGTGTAGGGAGGCCCACGTTATGTCAAACTCCCTCTTGAACAATAAATTTGGAAATTTATTTGGTCAAAATAACTAGGCTACCAGAGTGGCCGGGGACCACTTGCCCGGCCGGGCCACAAAAAAAAAAAAAACTAAAATAAAAATAAAAATCATTTTTCAAATTTATTTTCTTATTTTGAAATTTGGTAAAGAATTTCGATGCGACCCTGAGGCAAAACTTGTTCAGTTTTTTTTTCTTTCTTTTTTAACTTCGTTTCTTTGTTGACTCTTTTTTTTTTTTTTTTTTTTTTTTTTTTTTTTTTTTTTTTTTTTTTTTTTTTTGACATCTGCTGGCGGGAAAACAGGGGGTGATACGAGCTCCCCCCATCAATACCATGGCGGGCCCACAGATGGCTACTATCTATTGGTGGTGGGGAGCTACACTGTTCTCACACTAGC